TCTCAGGATTAAAGGTGTGTGCCATCACTATCTGGCTAGTCCTCTCACTTTGACACATGCAACAACCCCCTCCCCCAAACAAAACAAAACCCAAAGATGTTTGAAAAGTTCTGGCTACGTGTTTACCACAGAGTCAGCCCTGCCCAGAGAGGAGATGGTCTACCCTTATACAATGAATTATTTCACCAAAAGGTGTGAAGACACGATACAACTTACAACACAGATCAGCCTTGCAAAGGACAGACAGTGCCAAAGGGCTGTTACTTCCCTGTGACAAAAATTAGCAGACACCTTGAGACAAAGACTGACTCGTGATTCAGACTTTGCAAAGATAAAGGGAAAACCATTGGGTGCTACCAGTATTTCCACAAATAATGTAAATCAATGGCTCTCAGGCCCAGGCCAGGGAGATTGTGGCCCGGCAATATTGGTTGCTGTATCTGGGGCAGGGTAGTCTTCCTGGCATGTGGTGAGTTGAATACATGCATGCTTTCCTGCACCTCAATGTACAGGAAAACCCTTAACACAGAAGTTGGCGCCCCATTGTCAGGTAACCTACCAGCAACAAATGAGAGGCATCTTCCTACTCCTCCCACTGGTCAGTCCAGAGACATGGCACTCTACTGTCACCTGGTGTTCATTGAGAGAACATGGAGCTCAAGAGCATAAGGGGACTAAATGGAACCTGGAATGTTCTACATAAGGGCTCCTTCTTGAATGCTGCAGGAAACTTAATGGCCTTAGCTACAGACATTACGTCACCAATCTGCAGGATAGCCAGGCATGCAGAGATAAGGAAAGTAACCTAAGCTGAGATTTAGAGTAAAATACAAAAAATAGGGGCTGGAGACAGATGCCATTGCACAGACCCCAGATCCCAGCACCCACACTGTTGGCTCATAACTTCCTGTAACTCCAGCTTCAAGGGATCAAACACCTCTGTCCGCTGAGGGCACCTGCACTCATGACACAGACCCAGACACAGAAAAGTAAATTCCTTAAAAAAAATGCAAAGAATTGGGAACTCTCAGCTTTGCTTTACCTGGCCAACCTGGTAAATGTCGGGTTACCATATCCACTAAGGTGAATGGCTCACCCTTTGTAAAGAAATGTAAATAACAGGAGGTCATCACTGGGAGTTTAATCTGATTGTGACTACCAATCAATTGTTTGAGAACCACCACCATTTCAGAGTTTGTCTTTGCTGTCCTGAGTGGGAACCCTCGTGAGAGTGCCTCAGCAGTAACCAGAGGCCAAGCAGCCTGAGCTTCTGGACTCTCTTGCTGACCCCTCACTGCCCTCCACAGACAGGTGGAGGAAAGTGGCTTGAATGGGAACCCATGTCCCTTGGCCGTCAGGCTTCTTTTATGCGGTGGCTTTGCTGACCTTTTGTTGTGTTTTTGAGTCAAGATCTCTCTCTTGAAATTAATGTTTAAGTGCATGGGTATTTTTCAGGAATGTGTGACTGTGCACCATGTGCATGCCTGGTGCTCCTAGAGGCCAGAAAAGCTCAGATGCCCTGGAACTATAGGAGCTGTAGATTTGACTGGGATTCAGGTCTGCTGGAAGAGCAGCCAGCGCCCTTAACCACTGAGCCATCTCTCTAGCCCCAGAAAGTTATTTTTGCATCTGTCCTTGTAGCTGAAAGGCTGTGAGGGTGCATGGCGTCTACCTGTCTATGTAATATACAGCTGTTGGGGCTCATATGGATCAATCACCACCCCATTCTCTACTTTTGGAGTTAAAAAAAAATACATCTAATGTATCCCAGGCTGGCCTTGAAAATTACTGATCTGATTCTTCTGCCTTCCCTGCTGGGTGCTGTGATTACAGGACATGCTGCTACCCCTGGCTAGTTAGTATTAATATTCAACACAAGCATTGGTGCTGGCTGTGTGCCCTGTATGTGTATGTCAGATGGTTGAGGTGGCCAAGTGTTCTGAAGGATTGACACTTCCCTAGCCTGTGGGGAACTACTATAGCCCCTTCCACCCCCATATTCTCCTCATAGATCATGTCACATTGGACAAATGTCTCCTAGGATGTGGGAGGCATTCTTGCAAAGAAGCTCCAAATAGGGACAATGCTAATGATATCAGCACAGAATAACTGCATACTTCTACGCCTGGTAAAATTTAAAAAGTATTTATGTGTGAATGGATGCAAGCACGCCACAGTGCACATGTAGAGGCCAGAGGATAACTTGGGCACTCAGTTCTCCCTTTCCCTTGTTTGAGTCTTAGGGATCTAACTCAAGCTATCAGTCTTAGTGACAAGTGCCTGTACCCATTGAGCCATCTTGTCCCCACTCCCAGAAATAAAGCTTTTCATTCTCATTAGAAAGGTTGGTAGGAGAGTAAGGCCTGATTTTTAGGCTTTTTTTCTTCAAGATAGGGTATCATTATATAAGCACTGTTGTTCTGAACTTGCTTTGTACACCCAGCTGTTCTTGAACTCACAGAGATCTGCCTGCCTCTGCCTCCAAGTACTGGTATTAAAAGCACATGCCCCCTACACCAGGCAACTTTTACGCTTTTACAAGGAAAGAGCCTAGAACATTCTCAAGCCTTGGAAATGCTGTTTGAATTATGGGGCTACAACAAGCAGTTTGAGGCAGGTGGAAGAGGACAAATGCTTCCCTGATGCTCCAGGCATGACAATGGCACCCAGTAGTAGATTTACTGGGTTTGAGTGATGGCTCTATACCTACTCTACTCTATGGGAATGCTCAGGCATCCCATGCCTCACATTCCTTCTCTGTAAGATGGGGAGAAGCTACTTGTGTCTTAGGTGGCATGAAGGCCAATAGATAAAGCGGATATATGCATCATAAGAGCATCAAGGAGATGGTCTAGGGGGATGAAAAGTGTATGTGTGGTGTGTATATGTGTATATGCATGTTCTTGAATATGTGTGTACATGTATGTGGGTCCCCACACTTGTGAATGTGTACATGGAGTCTAGAGGTTGATTTTGTAAAATTATACTCCAGTGTTCTCCCCCATCTTATTGAGTGAGGCAGGGTCTTTCAAGTCAAGCCCAGAGCTCATGGATATGGACAGTTTTGCTAGGCAGCTTGCTCTGGGGACCTTTGTCTCTGAGTGTGCAGGCTGGAAGGCTACTACACTTAGCCCTCCATCCTGGTCTTTACACACTCATGGCAAGATCTTGACTGCTGAGCTATCTTCCCAGTCCCAGATGAAGAGTCTTAATGGGAAGAGAAGAGAAACAGTGATTATAGGCATGTACCATAAATCACTATGCATGGGTTTTTATGGTGCTGGGGATGAACAGGGCTTCCTGCATGCTAGGTAAGTGCTATACTGACTGAGCTTCATCCCAGCCCTCTTATAGTCAGGATATATATATATACATACATATATATATATATTTTTTTTCAAGACAGGATTTCGCTGTATAGCCTTGGCTATCCTGGATTTGCTTTGTAGACCAAGTTGGCCTTGAACTCGAAGAGCTCTACCTGTCCCTGCCTCCCTAAGTACTGGGATTACAGGTGTGCACCAACACTCCTGGCTCAGGATATTGTTTTTATTTCTGATAACAAGGATCTGCCCAAACAGGCTTAAATCTAGCCAAGGGATACAAGACAACTTTTTTGTAAACATGTGTTTGCATACCAGCCAGGGGCTGCTCTTGGCTTTGGAACATTGGCCATTCAGAAAGGGATTCATGGATAAACACAGTCTAATGCTAACCAGCCTCATTCGACTGTCCGGATGACACCCTGAGCAGCTCACCTCTGCAGTACAGCATGTCTGTGACACTGACCATCAAGCTTACACTTTGTGTCTGGCTCAGCTGTTGAGTGATACACTCTGGACAGCTGTATGCTTCAACCAGCACCTGTGTTATCTGAAAATGGAGGCCAAGGTTGAGGTCTTCAATCCTCCTTCACACCTCTGCTTTGTGTGTGTAGGGGGCAGAGGACAACCTCAGGGATCCTCAGGTGCTCTCCATCTTTTTTTTTTTTTCTTTTTTAAAACAGGGCATTCCATTGTTCTTAGCTTCTCCAAATAGGCTATGTTGCCCAGCCAGTGAGTCCTTTGGGGTTTTCCGTCTTTTCTATGTGATGGCTGGTGTTATTAACTTGACAGAACCTAAAATCACCTGGTGTCCAGCCTCTGGGGGACTATGTTGATTATATTGAGGTTGTGTGCACATTAGTTGTCAGCCTGACACAAGGATTACCTGGGAAGAGGAAAACGCAGTTGAGACAATGCCTCCATCAAATTGGCCTGTGGGCAAGTCGGTGGGATGTTTTCTTGACTGGTGATTGCTGTGCAAGGGCCCAACCTTCTGTGGGCATGTGGTCCTGGCTGCATAAGCAATGAGCATGAGCAAGCCATGGAAAGCAAACCAGTAAAAGCATTTCATGGAATCCTCTTCCAGGTTTCTGCCCTGATTTTCCTCAATCGTGGACTGTGAAATGGAAATGTTAAGTCAAATAACTCCTTTCCTCCCCAAGCTGGTTTTGGTGTTTTTTTTTTTTTTTTTTGTTTTGTTTTTTTAATAGCAACAGAAACCTAACTATGACAGGAAGACTCGCCCACTGTGGATGCCACCATTGCCTGATGTTATAAACAGGAAAAGGGAGCTAAGCAGCTATATGCATTCTTCCCTCTCTACTTAAGTGTGGATGTGATATGACATATCTTTCCTGCCTTGATGGACCATACCACCAGGCCAAATCAACCATTTCTTCCTTCAGTTGATTTTGTCAGAATATTTTTCTTTCTCCATCTCCCAGTGCTGGGATTACAAGCATATGCCAACCACACCTGGATTTTTACCTAGGTTCTGCGTGTCAAATTCAAGTCCTCATGCTTGCATGATAAGCCTTTCACCAACTGAGCCATCCTCCCATCCCATCTCTGCCCTGACACCATACCCCCACTGATCAACATGACCACCTGATGCTCTTTCAAATGCTGTGTGTTTATTTTATTCCCAATACATCCTCTGAGGTGAGACATACATTTCACAGATACTGAGATCCTAGAACGTGAAGGGAAGGGGGGCTCGTGTCTTCAATTTTTCCACCAGTTACGGTCATCTTCATCAAAGGAGTACCAGTCACCATCGATCACCGTGTGAGGCTTGAGAGACTGCACTTTCTCCAGCTGCCTTCTTACCTCGGCACAGTACTCCTGTTTCCACAGGCTGGGAAGAAAGGGGACTGTCATGCTAGGACCAGTCTTTGACATCTCCCTTCCTTCACATGTCCTGGAAGCCAGATCAGGGACTACAAACCTTTTTGAGAACTGTCAATGAGAGTAGCACATTCCCTGTAGATTAAAAGGACTGGGGGAGGGGCTTCCAAGGCTCCACTTCTAAAGGAACAGAATCACTTTTCTTTGGAGATGTGGCCACTAGTAGGTTGTTCATGACCCTGTGGATAACCCCATACCCATGTGCATATCAGCTTCACTAGCTGGAGGCAGTGGGTCATTAAACTAATTTAAAAAACAGGACATAAAGTTGGGAGAGAGACCTGGAAGATCACAGGAAGATCTGGAGGGAAGTGGTGTGTGTGTGGGGTGCATATCATCAAAAGACATTATATATCAAAAGACATTAATTACATTATATATATGTATATATATATACATTATATAGGTATATGAAGATTTCAAAGAACAACTATTAAAAAAAAATAAAAGGCCTGAGGAGATAGCTCAGTTTATAAAGTATTTGCTATACCAAGCATGAGGAGCTGCTTTCAATCCACACTGAAAAGAGAGGCTTCAAGGCTGAAGAAACAGTACAGTCAAGAGCACTGGTTGCCCATCCAGAGGACCTGGGTTCAATTCCCCAGCACCTTGTAAGGGTAGCTCACAGCCATCGGAAACTCCAGTCCCAGATCTGATGCCTTCTTCTGGCCTCCATGAGCATTGTAAACAAGTGGTATATAGACATACATCCAGGCAAACATTCATACACATAAAATGAAAACATCTAAAATAGAAACAAAACCAAACCCAAAATGGGCCAGGCATGGTTGTAGACACCTTTAATCCCACAGGTAGATCTCTGTGAGTTTGAGGCCAGCTTGATTCCAGGACAGCCAGGATCACAGAGTGAGACTGTATCTCAAAACAAAGAACAAAACAATAACTCAAAGTCCAAGATGGATAATCATTCTGGGACCTCTTACCAGAGGTTAACCCTTTGGCCTCCACACGTAAAGGCACATATATGCAAGTGAACCACAGATGTACATGTTTTCATACACACATGAATCCACACATGGAATAGTCCTAAATGCACAGAAATCTATTCTGTGCTGGGTCTTGTCCCAGTTTGAGGCACAGTGATGGACAAGGTTAAGACAAAGTCCCAACCATTCTAGTTGAGGAAAAGAGAATGCAAGCATTTACAGAGAAATTCCGTTTTGCCTGTGAAAGATCAGCTGGTAAAAATCCAAGTCTGACTGTGGGTAGGAGTGGAAGTAATGTATGCATGTGAATGTGCTCCAGTGAGAGAGATGGGAGAGGGGGAGGGAGAGAGACAGACAGGGAGTAAGAGACAGAGAAGAAGATAGAGGGGGAGACAGATAGAAGGGAGGGAGGGAAAGGAGGAAACAGAAGGAGCTAGAGGGAAGGATGGAGAGAAGGAGAGAGCAGGAGCTAGAGAAAGGCAGAAAGGGATGAAGGGAGGGAAAGAGGGTGGAGAGAAGAGGAGGGGGAGGGAGAGGAAGAGAAAGGGGGGAGAGCACGCTCAGGTGGAGGAACAGAGGTCATCAGTGAGTATTTCTCCATCTCTCTTCAGTTTATTGAGACAAACTCACCAAACCTAAACCTTGCTGATAGGCTAGGCAGACTGGCTGACCAGTAGACTCCAGGATCTTCTGGTCTCTGCCTCCTTAGTGCTAGGATTACAGGTGTGTGCAAGACCACATTTGGCTTGTACTTGAGTTCTAGGTACCAGAACTCAGGTCCTCAGGCTTGTGTGGGAAATACTTTACAGAATGAACCGTCTGCCCCAAACTGCACCAACTGCTAAGGCCAAACATATCATGGGTCTTGTCAAATACTGCTGTGCTGTGTGGCTCACTGTTTCAGTTGTCCCTTTTAATAGACATTATGCCCTTTGGGCTTGTTTGTGCATGTACCTTGTAACATATCTATGTACATATTGCCAGCCTCACCCAGCCAGAGTTCCCTTCCCAATTCACCATTCCCTCCTGCCTGCCATCAATGACACACTTCATCCCTAAAGTCATGCCTGGGCCTTTTTGCATTTATATCCACATGCTAAAAATTATATTTTGGATAAATCTCATGGCTATGATCTAGAGAAGTTATTCAATCAAGTCATTTTACCATCAGCCTCAGTTGGGCTGCCAGCCCTATCTTCTTCAGACAAATTCTTTTTGTTGTTGTTGTTTTTATTTTTTGTTTTTTGAGGCAGAGTCTTGTTATATAGTGCTACCTAGGTAGGCTAGCCTGGCTTCACATTTGCAGCAATCCTCCTGCTTCTGCTTCCTTAGAGCTGGACTACAGGCATGTACCACCTTGCTCAGCACTTTACTTTATTGGATTAAATTTACTTTATTGGATTAAAAGTATACTTGGGCATATAAAAGGGCTCAGTGGATTAAAATACTTGGTTGCCAAGCCTAATGACCTGAATTTTATCCCCAGGACCCACATCAACAACTGGCTTTTGCAAGTTGTTCTCTGACCTCCTCATGTGCACTCCACACATGCACACAAATAAATGTTAATATTTTTAAAAAACGTATGTGCATTTGTCTGCATGTGTATATGTATATCACATACATGCTGTGCCCACAGAGGTCAGAACAGGATATTGGAACACAAAAGCTTGTCACCATGTGGGTTCTGGGAACTGAACTCAGTTCTTCTGCAAGAGCAGCAAATGCTTTCAAGTATCAAGCTATATTTCCAGCCCCATTTTGACCCACTCCATTTAATAATTAGTGGAGGTGTTATTCATCAGAACACAGCCACTCATCAGTGGCAACATTAAATATTTAGCATGCACGACAAACTTGTCTATATTTGATTGAGATAGGGTCTTGCTCTCTCTGTAGTCTATGTTGTCCTGGAACTCATTATGTAGTTAAAGATGGCCCCAGATTTGTTTGGCCTCTTTTCTCAGCCTCACAAGGGCTAGGATTATAGGTGTGAGTCACGACATTAGGAAAAATTAACCATCTTAACTATTTTTGGTGTGTAAGTGGCATCACATTCCCACAGGCATACTGTAGTGCAACCACTGCCACTTCAGAACTCTCCCATCATCCCCCAAACCTATAGACATTAAACATAAACATAAAGTTTTCCTTTACCTTTTAAATTAATTGACAGTGTTAGGGACTTTACATATGCTAAGGAAGGGCTCTATCCAAGTTAAACCTCCAACCTTTGTCTCATCCTTTAGCAACCCTCTAGTTTTTCTGTCTTGAGTCTACCATCTGGAAACCTCATATGAATAGAGTCACAATATTTGTCTTTTGTGACTGAATTGCTTTACTTACATGAAGTCCTTGTGTCTTGTACATGTAGGAGCATGCATCAAACTCCCTTTCTTGAAAAATGCCACTAAAAACATGAATGTACAAATGTCTGGGTTTTTTTGTTGTTTGTTTTGAACTAGGGTCTCACTGTATAACTTGGCTGTCCTGGAACTCTGTCAGTGGTTCTCAACCTGTGGCTCGATACCCCTCCTCTTGGGGGTCACATATCAGATATCCTGCACATCATATTTTTCATACAGTTTATAACAGTAGCAAAATTACAGTGATGAAGTAGCAACGAAAATAATTTTATATTTAGGGGCCATCATGCTGGGAGGAACTGTATTAAAGGGTCACAGCATTAGAAATGTTGACAACCACTGCTCTAGATATAGGAAGCTGCCGAGCCATGATTCCAACTACTTTCAGTTACCCAAGTAATTTCAATTACTGCTTCTCCAAGTAACTTCTCAGAGAGTCAGGTTTATGTCTAAGGAGACAATCATTAGGGACTTACCCAATTATCCTCAGATTAGAGGTAAAGGTCAGGAATGCAGAGCACAGCTTCAACATCCCTGATGTACTGAAGTCATTCTTCACCAGGTTTAGGCTGGTCAGATACTGGTTGCAAGAGAGGGCTGATACTAGTGCCTCACAGCAGTCAGAAGTCAACCCGCATGCCTCTAGTCTACAGAGAAGCCCAAGGAAGAACCCATCAATGATAGATCCTTCACCTCAGGCCAATGTTTAAAAAAGGTGAGGGGAGGCTCCATGCAGAGCTTGATTAAATTGCCTGAACCTTCCCATTTCTAAATTCTGGTTCTTTCTCTGAGAGGTGCTGGGTACCTCAAGGCCAGTGACACTGAAATAGGTAACAGAGAGGAACACAGAAATACGTGCTGATTAATAAGCGATGTTGCACCAAAGACTCAAAGGATGGAGAGCTGCACGAAGGAGGCAGGATGTCCAAACTCGTGCATGATATGTAAGGAGCTGTATGGACACTGCTCTTGTCTGGGGGGGGCTCTTATGAGATAATCACGCCTAGATGGTCATATCTCTGTCACAGGACTATGACAGATGAGAGGAAGCTGAAAACGTTAGTAAAGGGTTAGGGTTCTAGGAAAATGGATAAAACTAGAGATTAGCATATTAAATGATGTAAGCCAGTTTTGAAAAGACAAATATTGTTTTCTCATGTTTGTGGAGCCCAGATACATAAAGTCATATATGGCACTAAAGGGGATGTGAAGCTGATTCTAGGGGAATGAAACAAGACTAATGGGATGTGAGGGGGAGGGATGTGAGAAGGGAAGGTTCAGAGATGTGTGTGGTCAAAGTACATTATATATTTGTATGAAAGTGTCTCTGTGAAACCCAATACTATGTAAGATAAATGTATGGCAATAAAAAATTTAGGACTTGGAAAGCATATATTACATAAAAAAACTTTAGGACTTTATCCTAAGAAGAGCAGCATGCCAGAGAATATCATTAACAAGGGTGTCGGAGCAATCTCTCTGCAGTTAAAAACATTTGCTGCTCTTGCAGAGGACTTGGCTCAGCTCTCAGCACACACATCAGGTGGCTTACAAGTGCCTCTAACTCCAGCTTCAGGAGATCTGATGCCTTATTGTAGCCTCAGTGGGTACTGACACACATGTAATACAACTAAGGAGAAGCAGGCACGCACATGTGCTCATAGAATAAATTTTAAATAAAAAAAGTTCAAGAAACCATAAAGCTGGGCATGGCACCATGCTCCTGTAATCCTCACACTCAAGAGGCTGAGACAGGGAGATCTTAAGATCTGGGTCACTACCCTATGGGAGAGTGTCAACCCCTGACACTATGAATGATACTCTGACCAAGTCTACAGACAGGAGCCTTTCAGAGTTGTTCTCCTAGAGGCACTTCCCCAGCAGAGCCTCAAAACAAATGCTGAGACTCACAGCCAAACATCGGGCTATGTGTATGGAGTCTTGTAGAAAAGGTGGAGGACAAAGAAAAGGACCTGGAGGTGACAGGAGCTCTACAAGAAGACCAACAGGGCCAACTAACCATGGCTTGCTGAGTTTGAGGCATTAACCAAGGACCGTGCATAATCTGGACCTAGACAGCCCTACAAAGATGTAGCTGATGGGCAGCTTAGGCTCCTCAAGTAAGGAAAGCAGGGAGTGCATCTGACAGGGACTTTCCTGTCAGCTTTTTGATCACTTCTCCCTGGTGGGACTGCCTTGTCAGGCCACAGGGGAAAGAGGACAAACTTAGTCCTGATCAGACTTGATGAGCTGGGGTGGATAGGAAGAGGGGCTCCACTTTTCTGAGGAATAGGGGAAAGGGGAGAAGGAAGGAGGTGGGACTGGGAGGTGAGGTGGGATGAGGCTACAACAAGGATGCAAAGTGATTAAAAATAGATTTAATGAAAAAATAAAGAAACAAAAAGATCTGGGTTGCTTGGGCTACACTGAAAGACTTTGCCTCAAAGGAAAGAAAATCAACTGATAATAGTATTTTAGAGTGTTCTGACATTTAAACAGCTACACTTGTTTGTTCTGTGCGTGCTTGTGCATGCTTGCCATGGTGCATGTGTGGAGCTTAAAAGACAACTTAGCACAGTTAGTTCTCTCCTTCCACTTGAATCCCAGTGACAGAATTCAGGTTGTCGGATGCCTCTTGCTACCAAGCAATCTCACAGGCCCATCGTTTAATATCTTAAGAAGTTACTTTTATTTTTATTTATGTGTACTCTATGTGTCTGTGGGAGTGTATGAATGGGTGTGCATGTGTGCGTGTCTGTGTTAGGACCTCATAGAACTCAGAATGTAACCCAGGCTGGCATCAAACTCAAGGTGATTCTGCTATTCTATCCTCGTTTGCTGGGATTACAGGTGTGAGTCACCTTACCTGGGTAGCACTGAGGTCTAGCAGGCTCCCAGGTGGATGAGATGCTGACTAAAGTCATAAGAACCACTGTTGTATCTGGTCACTTTGTGTTCATTCTTCCTGCTAGATTCTATGTGCTACACCACTAAAGTAGTACTAGTTTCTGTATTTCTACCATCCAGCTTCCAGCACCAAGCCTAGCACAGAGGTCTGACAGCCATTCCCTTGACTCCACCAGGGTAAATACTGTCTGACTTTATAGAGTTGGTAACAACACAGCACCACCCTGATTTCATGCTCAGGTCCTCCCATCTCCTCTGAGCTCAGTCCCTCAAAGAGGTGGCCCCAAGAAATTACCCCAGTCTCCTCAGGAAGCTTTCGTTTTGCCTTAGTCCCTCGCACAGAGCTTTGATTCCTTTGTCACCCAGGGCGTTGTTACCAAGATCCAAGCTCTTTAAGTGTTTGTTCTTTCTGATCACGCAGGCCAGATCCTCACAGCAGTCCTTTGTGAGCTGGGAATTCACTACTCTGCAAGAGACGCAGAAATCCACATGTTCAGTGGGGAAGAACTACAGTGGAAGTTAACACTCAGAAATGTTTAGAACAGTTCCTTTTATTTTCTCCTGAGAAGGTATTTTGGGGTCAAGTGAGATGGCTCAGTGGATAGTACTTGCCAACAAGACTACCCTGGGACTTCCAAAGGGTTGGCACCTTGTGCTTCTGTTTCCAGGCAGAGTGGGGTGAATGGAAGTGGAGTGACCCCATAGCAACAGGTAAATATTTTTTGGGGGGGTTCAGAGTTTCTCTATACATCCCTGCCTGTCCTGGAACTCACTATGTAGAGACAAGGATGGACTTCAACTCAGATATCCTCCTGCCGCAGCCTCCTGAGTGCTGGGATTAAAGGGATGTGCCATCATGACAGGCTGCTTATTTGATTTAAATTCAAGGAGTTTTTTTTTTTTTTGAGTTCACATTCTTTACTTTCTCTTCTTTTTTTATGTTTTTTTTCTTTATTAATTACACTTTATTCACTTTGTTCAAGGAGTTTATACATCTGAAACACAGGTATCTCTGAATGTGAAACTTAGCATCATCATGATGGCTGTAAGGGAAAATTGCACACCTGACCTTCTCTGACAGGTCACAGCTATAACATATCTGCACTTACAGCTTTGTATAAACCTGCATTTACACTCTATGTGTAAGGCATGTATGAAATACAAGTCCACTTTACATTTAGATTTGGGCCTCAACCCCCACGCCTGGGGGTATGTCTCAATGGTAGCACACTGACCTAGAATGCCCCAGTGAGGAGCTACAGTGTGGTTCAGTGGTAGAGTACATATGCAAGGATCTTGGTTCCATTCTTGGAGTACCAAAGACAGAAACAACAACAATGAAAAATCAAACCAAATCATTTCCAAAGAAACAGATTTTAGGGATCAAGGATGACCCAGAACTTATAATCCTGCCTTGAGGCTCCTGTTTATAGTAATTCCTCCTTTTCCTCAACTCTGTGGACCAACACATCACTTTACCTAACTAGTATGATTCCCAGGAACATGAGCACTTGACCTGATATTAGGTTTTAAAATATCTATTTATTTTTATTTATGTGTACTTTAAATAGATATTTTAAAATAAAATAATCTATTTATGTGTATCTATTTATTTATTTGGTATACAATGTTTAAAATATCTATTTATTTAAAAATATCTATTTATTTATTTGGTATACAATGTTCTGTCTGCATGTATACCTGCATGCCAGAAGAGGGCACCAGTTCTCATTATAGATGGTTGTGAGGAACCACTACGTGGTTGCTGGGAAATGAACTCAGGACCTCTGGAAGAGCAGCCAGGCTCTTAACCTCTGAGCCATCTCTCCAGCCCTGAGAATTAGTTTTTGATGCTCACATCTCCTTGTCCATCTCTCTTGCTTTCTAGAAACCTGGGCAGTGGAGATGATCCTTAACCCCCACTGTCTACTTACTCCAGTTCTTGGAGGTAACAAGTCGGCTCCTTTAAAGCTTCACACAGAAGCTTCATCCCACCATCTTCCATGGGGTTCAGGTTCAGGTTCAGGTGTGTCAGCTTTCTGTTGTCCATAAGCATCAACGCCAGGAAGCTGTAGGAGTATTCTCTGAGGTCGCAGTGATTTAGTCTATGGGGACACAAATGGGAAGAGGAAGGTTACCACTGTTCTTTTTGTTTGTTTTTATTGTTTGTTTTTGTTTTGTTTTTCAAGACAGGGTTTCTCTGTGTAGCCCTGGCTGTACTGGACTTGCTTTGTGGTCCAGGATGGCCTCAAACTCACAGAGATCCACCTTTTTCTTCCTCCTGAGTGCTGGGATTGAAGGCGTGCGCTACCATGTCCGACCCCCTACTGATCTTTCTCATGGCCTTGGATAGGAGAATCCTCTCAGTTTACTCTTCAGTAGGATGGGGCTCTTATTGATCATTACTTTCAGACTTAAGTGGTGGGTGAGTAAAGAATGTAGCTATTGGGACACTTACTAATATTAGGCCATACTGGAAGAGAGCCAAACTCTGACCAGGCTGGTGAGATGGCTTAGCAGGTAAAAGTGCTGTCAAGCCTGAGAACTTCAACCTGGGTTCATTCTCTGGGAACTATATGACTCCTACCCTCTCTGCCACCCATATGCATGCTATGCAGGCACAGGCACAAGCATGCACACATGTATACACAACCTCTATTTCTCCTGTATTTTTAATTGAATTAAATTTCTTTAAATTAGCCTAGTATAGTGGGACATGCCTGCAATCCAAGCACTCAGGGAGGCAGAGGCAGGCTGATCTTTATAAGTTCAAGTCCAGCCTGGTCTGCAAAGTGAGTCCAGGACAGTCAAAGCTACACAAAGAACCCCTGTCTTGGTAAAAAATAAAATATAAAATAAAATATAAAATAAAATATAAAATAAAATATAAAATAAAATAAAAAATAAAATAAAAAATAAAATAAAATAAAATAAAAAATAAAAAATAAAATAAAATAAAAAATAAAATAAAATAAAAAAATAAAATAAAATAAAAAATAAAAAATAAAATAAAAAATAAAAAATAAAATAAAATAAAATATTTAAAATAAAATAAAATATTTAAAATAAAATAAAATATATAAAATATATAAAATAAATAAAATAAATAAAATAAAATAAATAAAATAAAAATAAAATAAAATAAAAAAATAAAAAAATAAAAAAATAAAATATAATATAATAAAATAAAAATAAAAAATTAAATTACATTTTCTTTTATTGTGTGAGTGAGTATGAGTGTGTGTGTAAGTGTGTGTGTGTGACTGCACATATGCTTTGGTGCATGAATGAAGGTCAAAGGCTAACTAGTGGAAGTTGGTTCTTTTCCCTGTACCATGCAGGTCCCAGGGATCAAACTCAGATTGCTAAGCTTAGCAGCAAGTGCCTTTACCTGATGAGCCATCTTGATTTTATATTTTTGAGGCAGGGTCTTAGTTAGGCCAGGGTGGCTTGGATCTCATTTCGTAGATGAGGATAACTTAGAATACCTGCCTCCATGTCCTGAATATTGTAGTTAAAAGCAAGTACCACCCCACCAAGCTAAGGTTATATTCTTTAACAGACTTCCTGGTTTATGACAGGCACATGTATGTGCTTTCAAATGACAGTCATCACATGTGTCACTTAACATGTATATATGTTACGAATGCCACAGCATGTGTAGGAATGCCAGCGGACAGCTTGTGAGACCCAGCCCTCTCTTTCCACTATGTGGGTCCTGGGGATTGAAATCAGGTCACGAGGCTTGGTGGCAAGCTCCTTTACCTGCTGTCCCACATTACATGTTTTATTCACATAAAGTTATTGGTGGACTAATTGTTCAAAGGGAAAGAATAAGAAGCACCCCTGCCCCGAGTGAGCACATTGCATTAATCCAAGTTAACAAGAATCTCTCATTTTCTTTGTCAGATACAAGACTTAAGGTTGAAGATAACTTTGCAGTTTTAAAAACATTTACAGGGAACTACTGTGACATGGCAGCCAAGGAAAATGCTGATCCCACTGCAGCCTGCATGTGTGGTGTTCCTAGGAGTCTCCAACATCATGTATCAGTGGCCTTTAGCCCCGAGTCAACTTCATCTACCTAAAAATATATCTCCATAGGTGTGTGTTCATCTTCATGTGTGTGACAGCACGAAGAGTTGCTCCTCATGAGCCAGCCACTTTCATTTTTAAAGACTTATAGTTTACACGTGTAAATATTTGTATGCATATGCCTAAGTGTACTGTGTAGTGCCCATGGAGGCCAAAAGAGGGCATGAGACCTCTAGAGCTGCAGTTAATAGCTCTGAGCCACCATTTGGGTGCTGGGAACTGAGCCTGAGTCTTCTACAAAATCAGCAGGAGTTCTTAGCTGCTGAGCCATATTCTGTGGTCCAATCCTATCTTGTTTTTTGAGGTAAGGTCTCTAGATGGCTGCCGATTCAGACAGACATGTGCCCGTTTCCTGCTCCCCAGCACTGGGGTTATAATGGTGCACCCTCCTTCTGGCTTTTCAATTGTGTGAGTTCAGGGGATCTGAACTGAGGTCCCCATGCTATGGTGGCATGAGAGAGACACTGAGCTGTCTTCCTTGCTTCCCTAAAAATCTCATTGAATTTTCACACAGAGATTTTCACCACATGCCTTTCCAACTCTGTATTACCCGTAACCTAGACAATTTGTCTGGCGAGATGGTTCAGTAGGTCAAGGTGCTTAACAAAAGCAAGATGACCTGAGATCAATTCTAGGGACCCTCATGGTGGAAGGAGAGAACTGAGTGTCACCTCCACATGAGTGCTGTGGCATGTTTGCCCCCCACATACACACACACAATAATTATACAATTAAAAACCCAACACTGTTTGCCAAATACATACAATTCCTCTGCATCATCTGTGAATTTGCTATTTGTAAATTTTCCCATTTGGTAAAATTAATAACTTGCAAACATCAGCACTAATGGCAAATCACAGGTCCTCCCTGATGCACACACACAGTCAGAGACACAAGTCAGTCAGTCTCCAGCATTGTACTCTGCCCCTGGTAGAGGTGGGACTAGTTTCAATTCTCATACTGAACAAAATTGTCTGTAGTCAGGTGTGTAGTTATGGTCATGCTTGTTGATTTTTGTGCTTTCTGGTGCTAATTTAGTTGTTTAAAATGGCCCCAGGCTGGGCTGGGGGGAGTTGAGAGTTGGTAGAGTGCTTGCCAAGTGTGCCTCACATTTAATCTCCAGCACCATATAAAGTACATGCCTGTAATTTCAGCTCTCTGCAGGTGGATACACGAAGTCACTCTGGGCTACATGAGATCCTTGGGCTGGAGGAATGGCTCAGTGGGTAGTGTGCTTGCTAAACAATTGTAAGGGCCTGTGTCTGGATATCTGACATACATCTGCAGTCCCTGCACTCCTAATGGGAGATAGGAGTTGAAGGAGAATGGCTAGAAGCCAGAAGGTTGACTGCCGGTGTCTTCCTTG